AGTGTGATATTTGGTTTCGTCAGGAAGGAGAAATTGTACACTCTCACATGGTGCACAGAAAAGGAGATGAAAATGGAGCGACTCGGAAAAAAGTGGAATATGACTGCGCGCGCACGCGGTCCTCATAATTTTGGACCACCCTGTACATACCTTTTCCTAAACACAACCTCTTCTTCACACTCCGTGCTGAACGCTTCCCTGAGCCTTATTGTTCATTTTTGACATTCCACTTTTCCGAATAAGCGCTATACCTCCGTGGTTTTTTTTAAACAAGAACTTTTCCCCAAAGCCCAACCTTTTCACGTGAATCCATATCATTCGAGAGATCTGTTTGTTCTGTAAGGATTCATGTTTAGTTCTTCCTTTCATGATTTTAGTAAAAATTTTGATCTTACGTAATAAGGTACAGTCAACACGAATGACGCTAGTTCTGAAAAACAATCCCCAAATATGCAGGAAAAATTAGTCGGCGATATTTCACGTACTCAGCTACAATTCACCATGAGCAATTCGTCAGGTTTTCAGTGCTTTGGAGATGAAACTTTAGGGTCTGTATTCGACGAGATAGAGGTCTGCTATCGAGTTCTGGTTAGATAACCAAATCTCAAAAAAGAACGATATGACTTCTTGGAGGGTTACACGCTAGAACCTCGTGTGAAAAGGTATGTTACTGATGTATTTTTCTGGGAGGAACGTATATTTTGAGTTAGTTGTCGGTTTGATTAAATTCATCTACTGTGCCTCCCTCATTAGAAGCAGGGTCAGTCCTATCGTTGTTACTTTTTCAAAAATTTTTACGACCCCCCTCCCCCAAGGTGGACTTGGTACGACCCCCTTTTCGACCCTCGACCACCATATTCCTCTCTATAGTATTTAATTCTGGTACCACTCAACCCACCAAACTCCGCCCACTTTTTCCTCCAAAAATGCCGTCGAGGGGGGTATATACCCACTCTGAAACAGTAAAAATTTACCAAAATTCCCTAAATTTCAACCAATTTACCCCACTTCTACCTATAATCCCACTGCTTCATTTGACTGAAGCGGATACGACCCCCCCCCCTCCTACAAACTCAACCAGGTACGACCCCCCCCGTTGTTACTAGTAACAACGTAGGGTTGACCCTGATTACAAGCCTGTAGGTCAGTAATCTTACAATGAATATCGAAGTAGTCACCGCGTTTTGTAGAGCAGGCAATTCTTCTCTGAATGATCTATAACATTGTGTGAAGAGTTGGGATCTTATAGGAAAAATCTTGATTTGAAAAAAAAACGACATTACTCATAGGAGAAATCTATTTAATTGTAATGATGAACTGTTTCGACTGATGGAACTTAGGTATGAGACGCGACCATTATAAATACAAGAAGAAGGCTGAGCTGTGATCTTGTTCATTTGATTTTGGTACTGTAACTTTTGTCTATGAAGTATCATTGGAAATCCCGTACGTAAATCAACGCCTAAGTAACGCGCCTTTTCCCGACTTAAGCCGTTTAGACAGAGCGAGCACCCGAAGTAAAGCGTGAATTATAATGTTCTGCTGTAGTCACGTACAATGCGCGACGCATTGACGCGCTGAAGTGCGTGCTCGCCTCCCACTATTCGTTTTCTCTGCGCTCTCTCAAAGGAGAGAGAATATGTCGAGCCAACCCGCCAACTATACTGAGCGCCGTTCATGTAGGAGGTGGAGGATGGCACGCACGCCAGAGTGGCCTCGCGCCTAGTCTAGCGCGGCACCCGGGGATAACCTCCCCTAGTGCGCGCGAAGCGCGCGCAGCGTTCAGCCTCGCCGCGTTCAGCCTCGCCGCCTTACTTCGGGTGCTCGCTGTGTCTAAACGGCTTATCTCCTTTTTCCCTTTTTAGCCGCCTCGGACGGCCGCAACTTTACGAGTGCTGTTGAAAGGCAGAAAAA